GCGTTCAGGGAAGTACAGCTTCATACACTGATCGACGCGCTAGTTTTCCAATTTGCGCGGAACTCGCCATCACACCCCGATGGCGGATACGATCATGAGCAGATGAGCGAAGCCCTTCTGGCGCGCATCTCACAGGTCCTGCGCGAGAGAATCATGTATACCTCACTTTTCGTACATGGTAGACAGACTGACTGTTCGATCAGATTTGCAGACCTTGTGATAATCCCGGATCTGTTCAATGTTATCGTAAAAACGCCCGATTTTGAAGTTCCCCTCAGCGCGGCCATTTCATCTATCTATGGGGACAGCGACACACCATCGATTCTGTATGTAATTGGCGTGATCAGGGCGCTCCCGGAAGTTTATTTCCCCCCAATAGGCGCGGCGAATGTTTTTGTAACTGCGACCCCAGAAGATTTAGTCCTCATCGATAATTACCGCGCAACACGTTAAAATTGTGTATTTCTATGTTCCGATAAACATTTTTTAAATTACAAAGATTTATTTACTTTACACAGATAGAGAGCGATACAGAGCGAGAGAATTACACTTTAAAGAGAGAGATAGATTCACACATTAAAGAGATAGTTGGATAGGGAAAGAGCACACTTCAGCGCTTTGCTTGAGTCGCATTTGTCTTCAGTTTTCGGGGTGGTATGATGATGGTAGCAGTCGGCTTGTGGCGTACCACGAAAAGATTGCAATCATCGTCATACAGAACCATGAGTTGAAACCACGCGCGAAGATTTGCCTAAATGTCTTGAATTAACCGGTGTTTTGTGAGAACTTTGTACCTTTGACTTCGGCTCTGCAGGAGTGCCACGAGCAGATGTGTCCAAGAAGTCGAGAACCTTTCCAGTGTCGAGTGGAGTGCCGTCAGAGGGCTGCTTGAATTTCCCCCAGAAGTGAAATTTGGGGTTTGTGATAGGAGTGATAGTCAGAGCCGGATCCGTCAGGGTTATCTTCGGGCGTCCACGTCCACGCTTCGGAGCATTTGCGTCTTTGACTGGGTACGGATGCTTGCGAGGGCGTCCCCGGCCGCGTTTCAAAGGCCCTCCAGCAACGGCTCCATTTTCTTCAAGAACGGGGAGCTTCTCAATTTCAGGCTTGCCGTCGCTTTCCGGTTCATAGTTCGGCATTAGAAGCCATGTGAGCGGAATCATTTCTTCGGGTTTCCACCAGGAAAACAGCCCATTAGAGCCGGGATTCGCAGTGTAGACTCGTCCTTGCGAAATTAGTTCGGGCAGGTTCTTGGGGTCAATACTTCGGGAGCTCAGATGTCCGGCGTCGTATTTTGGCATGTAAAGCCCCTCCAATACGGATTTGTCCAAGTCAGCAGGCAATTCCTTAACCAGGTTGAATTGGGTGTTGGCAGGCAGCGGCACAGTAGGAGGCACTGAAGTCGTAAATTCATAGGCTATGACAGGGGGTACTGTAGCCGGAGTAGCAGGGGATACGGTAGATTGCTGAGAATTCATAGTTGAGCGCAAGTTGTCGAGTTTGTTAGAATGACTTTCAGGTCAGTACAGCGCCAATTTATACCCAAAATTTTCTGACAGGTTCCGGACGATAAATCGATCGTCTTCCTCTATGTTCTCTAACTGCGTGAGCAAATCTGAAAATGGAATTCCGCGACTGATCTCCATAACAAACCATACTGTAAATCCCCCACATGTGCGTGTAAAAATCGATTGGTGTGGATACGGATTATAAAACAACTGTTTTGCAAATTTGTTTATCCATGCGGAAATAGGGCTTTCAGCGGGCGGCGGAGCACCGCTACTGTCGAAATACCAAATACGCCGAGCTCTGTCTCCTAGCATAGCAACCCAGTGAGTGCCACCGGAAGGATCAGCAGCTCGACTCAAATTTGCAACAAGGGTAAAGGGAAAATGAGGAGGAGGAGTGGGAAGCCGGTCAGCCGCAAAAGTACCTAGGAAATAGCGCCGAGACACAGGATGAGAAAACAACAAGCGGTCAATTTGGGAATTGTCCATCAAATCGGGAGAACTGAAATCTGGCGTTGAGCGTCAATAGTGAGGAGTCCGTTGAATTCTCCGGCGACGACTACTTGTACGGCTTCCGTAAGCGCACGATGGAATTCAAGGCGGAGCCCGCATGATCCGCGGAGAGCAAGCTGGAACTCGGATTCGGTACTGTCGAGACTCGAAGGCAGCAAATCGATGCAGTAGACGGCGCGGCTGTTGCTGTACATTTCCGGCGAGATACCATTAGTGCGGCCACTGGCATGGAATCCGAGGCTCTCGTTCATCTGATGATAAGCTTGAAGGAATTGCCCCGAGGTATGGTCGAGATTGTATGGTCGCATGGGCACGGTAATCCCGCAAAAGTCCACGTAGATGTTTCTCAAGCCAAAGTGGTGGAAGCGGAACGGATCTTTCCCGTAGTCTCCGGTCAACGCAGCGGCATTAACGATACCCACGAAAATGCGTCTAGGAACCTGATTTCCCGAAAAACACACGTATTCCTGGGTTAGCTGGGTTCCTGTATTGACAAAGAAGCTTTTCGTGACCATCTGCCTGTATGGATAGGTAGCCAGCTTCCCGCTAGCAAGCATACGATTTATGGCAGAAATAGTCTGATCAAAGCAGACGGCTTCTGCTAATCGCAGCTGCATGGATTTAATTTCCAGCCTCCACCTCTCACCGGGCTCGTCAAAGTCGACAAAGATAAAGTTGTCCGGCGACTTGAAAAGTTGAAGCGAAATGTCCATCCCGTTGAGAAGAAGTCGATTGGAGGCTTCAAGGCCCAGATCAAGCCCTGTGATCAGCTGCAGAGTTTTCCCGTCCCTAACCCATTCGACTCGCTCCAGGTACCCCGGATTTGTTTTTGATTCGGTACCGTTGTCTTTGGCACTGTATCCGGCAGCTTTTCCGAGAACAAATTCCTTCGAGTCTTTCTCACGGCAGAATTCGTTGATGAAGAATTGGCGGTAGGGATTCAGGTTACCAGTCTCGACGACAGGGATACCGTTCAGGCTCAGCACAATGTTACGGAAGAGGGCCTTGGCAAGCCAGTTGATTGGTGCAGCGCGCCTTGGCTGTGCTTGTACAACTCCGCCGACCGGTTCTGCGACCTCGATCCCGACGCCGTTGTCTAAATCCGTTACCCGGGCTTCAATCTGAATTGTTGTCCGGGCAAGGCTGATGGGGTGATGTTGTTTGACGATCGAGAACGACCAGGGACCTTCCTGAGTGAGTGCAGAGTCGAGATTGACAATTCGTGTTCTGATTTAAAGGGGTGCCCATGAACATTGGGAAATGGGCGAGTGAAGATCCCCCGACTTGTTGCTGTTGCTGCTCAAACACGGGCAGCCAGTCCAGGGCGTCAGGGTCGAAGGGAAGATAGTAGCGAACGTGCGTCATGCTTAGTAGATACGACGGAAATGAAGACAGACAATGGTGTTACCGTAGTTTATACGAAGGGGCCGCCCCTGTCCATCGACCAGCTTGACGGTGATGGTCTGGATGTCGTTTGAATGGACACGGCGATACTGGACAGTGTTGAATTCACGGGAAAAGGCATGTCCAAAGGGAGTATCTCCTACCGCAACGGTACGCAGAAGGGGGACCAGTCTGCCTCCGACGATAGACGGCTCGACGACATCAGAATAGCAGTAGACGAGGCCATTGCCGAAATCGGGGAGATACTTTGCGATGCCTCCTTCGAGGAATTGAGCAGGATCGAATCCACAAGTGTAGGCTAGTTTTTGGGAAAATTCGATGCTATGCACAATGTTACGGTTTAGATCTAAGATGAGACGTCCGGACACAGGATCATGTCGGAAATAGACGCCAGTTTTTTCTAGAGCAGTCTTCTGATCAGCCGTCCTTTGACGCGTTTTCTCGGATTGTTCGGGGGCAGGAAAGGAATACGTACCTGCACGGAGCGCTTGTGCTTCCGGGAGCGCGTACGTCTTCGCTTCCGCATTGTTGATCGGCGCGTCATCTTTGTGTTGCAAGTTGTAGAATGAAGTCTTTCGGTCTTCTGTCGAGGGTGCGACAAATTCGGGAGGAGGCGGTACGTACAGCTCCAACCTAGGTTTTGAGGCTTCGGGATCAGCAGGTTTAGAGACTTCGGACTGCTTAGGTTTAGAGACTTCGGGCTCCCCTGACACTTCGTGCTCCCCTGACACCTCGGGCTCCTTAGGCAATGTCACGGTGCCTTTAGGAGCTCCAGAATAGGGAGCTATAGGCTCGGGAGGCAAGGGCACTGCACCTTTAGGGATTTTAGGTTGAGGAGCTTCTTCAGGCTTTTTCACATCAGGCACCGGCTTCATGTCTTTCTCAAGCTTGAACGTGCCTTGATTTGGGTCATACTCCACGTCTCCAAGGGCGCGACGCTTCCTGGATGAACGGTCAAGCGCGGCATTCAGGGCATCTACCAGAAGTGTCGGATCTTTGTAGTTCCCACGACGCAATGTAACCGTGTAATTGTCGCGAGACTTGATCATGTTCACCTTGATGATCTCATCTTCAGGTATCGTATCCCACGAATAACAACTCTGAAGCTCGGCAAGGCCCACTTCCCACCGGTTAAGCCGCCCGTCCAGATCGTAAAGTCTCAAGTGGTTTGGCATGCGATTCACAAAAACAGAAGACGTATTCTCCGGAGAGTCTGAGGCATTACTAGCTAAAACAACGTAGAAAGAGTCGTCGTGCATCTAGACAGTTTGTAGTAAATGAGCTTCGGGTTTGCGTACCGGGTAGATGGGCGACGGTGCCACGAGACACAGTGCACCGCCCACGATTGTCAAAGTCCGCTCACTAATAGAGTGGTCTCTCGATACGTCGTGCACGATACTGAAAATTGAAAGAGTCAAAAGCACAGCCAGAATAGCCATGGACGTGAAAACGCGTACTTCTCGCATACGGTACGGTCCTGTGCATCGGAACGACTGTGTGCTATCCGCAGATGTAGTGCTCTCTGTATACTGTCGTGTCATTGGTCAAAGAATGGAAAGAATGAAAATCCGTTTATTCAGAAGGATGCGTTCTCAGGTCGATAACGTCTTCAGCTCGCACCCAAGAGTTGAACTCGTCGTCATAGTCGAGCCATTTGACCAGGTATTCCAGCTTCCCTTTTCGACGTCGCTCGTCAAGGATCCGCTCAACCTTGTACACGCCATCAGAATTCTCGGCTCGCTGCAGCTCGGCGTCGTAGAATCTTCCTTCAATCTTCTTACCGTTCAAGTCGGAGACACGATAAGTGACCGGGACACGCATGTCAATCTGTCGCACGACAAACAGTTCAGAGCCCCACAAGCTGCGGAACCCCTTCTGAAACGTCTCACGACGATTAGAAAGTACCACAGTGTCACCAATCTCGAACTTTGAGATGTCGGCAATTTGTGGTTGCTGATTTGGCATTTTTGTGTCGAAATTCACGTCAACCGGACGCATCCCAGTCACGGTGCTGCGAGTTTTATTCAGTGATTCGGCAATTTGTTGCACGACATCCACCCAACGTCGGGTATTGTTATGCGTAAAGTAACGGTAAATCTTGTACTTGATAGTCTTCAGATGAGCTTCGGCTACTTGGGCCTTCTGGTCGCTGCCACGTAGAGTGAAATGGTTAATTTTCAGGTCTGCGTAGAGTTGTAGCATGGCACCGGTGGTGAACTCCTTGCCCTTGTCGGTGAGCAGATTAAACGGAATCCATTTTGTGAACATTTTACGCATAGCTTCGGCAACCGATACAGGTCGTTTATCAGGCAATGCTGCGACCATGATGAATTTGGAGTAGACGTCGACAACTAGAAGCAGCCACTTCATGCCGTCGTTCCAAGTCGACAGCGAGCTGAGATCACCCAAGTCGGCCTGCAGATGAGTCCAGCACTGAGTACTGGTCATCCTCAAGCGGGGGTAGCGTACGCGAGCAGGTGCGTGAACGTAATGGCTTGGTGTGCCTCGGAGAAATTCTTCAATTTGCTCCTTAGAATACCCGTGCTCCTTGCCGACGCGGCGAAGCACAGTTGCGGAAGTGAAGGCAGACGGATTTTCAAGAGAAGTCCAAAGATCTTTGAGAGATGGGGCCATAGTTTAGTGCCTTGTAGAGTAGTTTCGAGGTGTGAATAGGTTGTCTGACTTTTTCTCCTTCTTACCAGGAGTCTTCTGATAGCGGGGCGTACGCGAAGTGTCGACGACCTCCTCTTCAAAGTCGTCGTTGCCGGGTGTGTGGTAGTAGGCGCTGAATGGGGAAGACGGGCTAGCGCGCTCGAGTGCATCAAACACGTGATCGAGATGTACAGGTGTGCCTCTCCGTCTATTCACGGGAGAATTCAGATGAGTGACGATCCTGTCAATTTCACCGTCCATCACCAGTTTTCCGTCAATCAGACGTCCTTTTACTGACTCTACGCGTGGGAAGCTCTTGTTCAACTCTGCAATAAAATCCTTGCCAAAGTTTTTGCCACTGCGCAGCAAACGTGGCGAAGGCGTGACGATGGGGAGCTTGGTTTTTGCCTTCAGCCTAGCCTTCTTCTTCGGTGGAGGCCCCACCTCAGGCTCGGACTCTGGCTCCCGGTCCGGCTCTGGATACGTCAAATCAGTGGGCATCGGGTATCGATCGGGAGATGGCTCTCGTTTAGTTTGAGGGTGACGCTTGCGCAACTCTGCGAGCAGGTCAGTGAACACGGCAAGGAGCTGATTGTAGTGGGGTGTCTTGACGTTGTCGGGGATACGTTTGTCGTTTAGAGTACGCTGCATTTGCTGGTCGAGCACCTGCAGCCGTTGCTTATCGACATCATCTTGAGTAAAACGAGTGAAAGGAGCACCGTCGCCTTTAATAATTGGAGGGGTAGAAGCAGAAGTAGATGAGGTAGGCCCAGGGGTAAAGGGAACTAGTCGCATTTTACGAAACATTGAAGATGAATCTTGCAGCCAGATCGATGAGTGCAGGTAGTATGAATGGCAGAATGCCATCACCTGTCTGTATAAGACCGTGACGCGCCGCCTCCACTTGACGCTGACGTGACAACGCGTCGATCGTGCCAAGATGTCGTTTCAGCTTGCGGACTTCATACTTGTGCAAAGGTACGTTTCCATTGTTAACGTTGTGCATCGACTCGATGAGACAGCCCAGTTGACTACAAGAAGCCTTCTTCAGAATCCGCTTCGTGTCTTTCGACTTTTGAAGACGTTTGAGAAAGTCAATGTTAGCAGTTAGCCTGCGATCGGCAGCTGTGAGTTTAGTCATGTCCAGAAATGAATGAGCATGACAGTTAGCGAGGCATATACACAATCTCCCCGCCCACGTCATCTGGGAAGATGTGGGTCACGAGCCTCTGCCGGGGATCTGCAAGCACGTGGTTGTTGATGAGTAGGTATCCGTAGGGATCTGAAGCACAGACGTCCTCGTAAGCATCGACGAGAAAGCGACTTCCGGGAAAGATTTGAGAGTTCAGGACGCGGACCTGGTTCCGATCCGCGTTGTTCTTTGTCAAGATGAGGTACGAGGCGTTAACCCGGCTTGTCCGGTCTCCGCAAAACGCATTCTGTGAAATCACGACAAGAGAATGGTTCCGATGGTGTACGCCTTTCGTGAAGAGGTCAACTACAGTCTTGTTGCGCTTCAACTCGGTGCACTGATCGTCGATCACGATAAAGTGTGGAGTCTGAAGAGACTCAATGTCAGCGTCTGTAGGGAGTCCTTGATACAAGCGTACGCGAGGATCCATTTCCACCAAGTCATGGTAGAGCGGCTGGTCAATACTGTAGCACATTAGAATTCCCTTACACACGCTGGCAGGGTCGGTAAGTTCATCTAGCCACTGTACCATGCGCTTCAGTAAAAAGCTCTTTCCCGAATTTGAAGGTCCCATGATAAAACAGCTGAAAGGCCATTTGAAGCGAAACTTTTCGATAGAATCATCGTTTATTCCAGGCATAATTAATCGATACAGATTTCAATAGTGTCTTGAGGGTAACTGATTCCTCCAGCTCGAATGACGGGCTCGTACGCACAGATTCGTGTTGAAGTCGTGGTAGAGCTGATAGTAGACGTCCAGAGGCACGCCCATCGAGCCGGGCATCGGGATGGTCCGTTTTGGACCCTGTAAGCAGGTGCTGGAAGTGTGTGCAACCACGTCGACGGGGCATGTATCCCACAGAATGCGTGGCGCAACGACTTCGGCGTGCGACATCTTGCATCGTAGTGTTGCGTTCAGCAGAAGCGCAACAACCTCCACGCGCTCACGAGGTGTCAGCGGGCGATAGTAGTTCTCGTTACGACGGTAACGACAGTTCAAGAAGACGTTGAATGGTAGCCAGTGTTTCTTAGTGTTAGTGGAAGCCATAGTAGAAGTGTGATACTGAGTGTCTCTCTCTCTGCTTTTATACCCTGCCATTGTGGTGAGATTGACTTTCGACAAAACCTTTTATCTTCAACAATAAGTAAGCGTGCAGAGGCTTTCCTTTTTTAGCGCAGGAGGTAGGCGACAAGAAGCACGAACGCGACGACGAATACCAGGTCGGACGACGAGGGCGAGTAGTTAGTGGCGACAGCGAGAAAGTTCGATTCGAGGTTGGAACAGATGACAGGGAATGAGTACCTGGAAGACCAGAGCATGTTTGACAATTGACTAACTGACCCCTTTAGACCATAGCACATTCCGTCTTCATCGCACGGGACGGGGCATTTCGAATAGCGCACCAATTCCATGTTGTGTATAATATTAGAATCGAGATCTTCGTAGATTTTGACGTAAGTAGGCATTTTTTTGGGGTTCTCAACGGGATAAAGAAGAAACTAGATGGAAAAGGTAAGCTTTTGACTCGTTGACATTAACGATTTTTACAGATTTTCGAATGCAACTCTCAAAGACGAGAGCACGAGGACTCAGAATGGATCAAGCTACAGCAACTGTCGATATCGATCCAACTACAGCACCTGACAACTTCCTGCCTGTCCTCCAGGAAGCTATGGATCGTCTGTTTGACACCGTCGGCAACACTAGTGTGAGTACCTACTTGACAAATCAGAAACAAACTTGTTTTCAGGACGAGCGAACGTACTCGACAATCCTAAAGTGCCAGACACTTGACGAGGAAGGTCGCAATGAAGAGGATGGGTTGCCTATCTTCCACCACGACTCAGGCCCCAGATAACATCACAAGCCCTTGCGGAAATACTCCAGAACAAGGTGCACAGCTCACATCGAATCAAGAACATGACACGGTTCACGCTTCAGGCAAGTTTCGAGTTTGTGTACACCAACCCTCAAACTTCAGCTCGACGGCTACGAAGTGCGCAAAGGAGGAGCGGGAATCGCAGATTGGACCGGAAAACTTGTTGTTTTCAACCCCTCAGACCTTCAGAATGCGTGCTTCCCAATGAGCGTCTACTTGCTCGTGGAGTTGGCCAAGCTCATGGACTTCAGTGCAACACTCGTCAGAGGCAGAAAGGGAGTCAAGGGCAGGTAGTGACGTTGCTAGTTTGTCAAAACTTGACGATTTTCAGAGCAAAGCAGCGAGAATGGACGGAACTCAAGGACAGCCTTACCGAAGAGTTTGACGGGGCTTTCCACCAGGACCCGGACACAATCGTGAAAGCTCAGGACTTCTTGAGAAGCCTATGGCCTGGATACAGAGCTGGGCAGATGGTATCCCTCCCTGAAGCTGCCCAAGTCCTCAATGAGATCAACAGACGGAAGCTCGGCAAGATCTACATGTTTGACAAATCGTAAGTGTCCCAACATGTGAAAAAAATGCCACAATTCTAGGGGCAAAAAAATTGGATGTACGCCTGACTACAACAATGTCGATGGCCGTGTGCTGTCGATGGTGTATGAAGAAGAGAATGAGCACTTCACGCCGGTCACTAAAGCACCCTCATCTGCAACCTGGATACGCCGAGCTGGCTATGAGATCGATGAGGTCTTTTCATACATGAAACAGTGCGACGGATGTGGCGTGTACTACAATCAGAACTACCACAAAAAGTAAGGCGTTTCTTTCCTATTGACCAACAAATTTTAGATGTGAATGGCGCTGCCTGAGATGCCAGACAGCACGAAGACCTGCGAGGCCGAGCCCCACGTCCGGATAAGATGCACGACGTGCCATGTTTGCTTCCAGAACAAGAAGTGCTACGACAACCATTTGAGGAACCATTTGAGGAACTCATTGCATTGCATTTGCATTGCATTTGAGGAACTCGGTCAGCTGACTTCGGAAATCCCCACCGGATGGACATGTGTGAGCTTCGTCTGTCCTGGTAGGTTGGAGAGAGAGAAAATCAAGCCAGAAAATTCTAGGCTCGAAGCAGTATGCGGCTCTGTTGAAGAAGGACGGCGAGGAAGTGTACCAAGAGATCATTAAAACTCGAGGTAAGCTTATCCCAAGAAAAAAGAACACTGTCTTTATTTTTAGGCATCACGCAAGATCTCGACAATAAGGGGAAGCTGACATTTAACCGCATGAAGTGTATGGCAACACAATTTGTTGAGCGCTATCAGAGCGATGAAGCCGAACGAGCCGCTGCAGAAGCTCCAGAACCTTCGATTGAATTTAATTATAAGAATATTCGCAGGCCGAAGCCCGGAGTGCTAGAGACTGTTGCAGAACGTAAAAAATACCGTGTTGTTTATAAAAAAGGCTTTCCTAATGCCGAAGGGCAGTATTTTCAGTATGGCCGTATTTTCCGTTAGATTTTATTGTGATTGCGTGTAATTTACTCGTTTATTTAGTGTTATTGATTGTTTTTGTATTTCGCAACATGTGTTTTCCCCTTAGATTTGCATGTTTACTGGCGGAGTGTGGGCAATAAATCTTCTTATTAATTGACTTTACGTGCCCCTCGATTGGTATGACTAATACAGACAGCCACATGTGTCGCGCGCGGGGCCACTCGTCCCCAATTCACTCACTCATTCCACTGCCCAAAAAAAATGCCTACTTACGTCAAAATCTACGAAGATCTCGATTCTAATATTATACACAACATGGAATTGGTGCGCTATTCGAAATGCCCCGTCCCGTGCGATGAAGACGGAATGTGCTATGGTCTAAAGGGGTCAGTTAGTCAATTGTCAAACATGCTCTGGTCTTCCAGGTACTCATTCCCTGTCATCTGTTCCAACCTCGAATCGAACTTTCTCGCTGTCGCCACTAACTACTCGCCCTCGTCGTCCGACCTGGTATTCGTCGTCGCGTTCGTGCTTCTTGTCGCCTACCTCCTGCGCTAAAAAGGAAAGCCTCTGCACGCTTACTTATTGTTGAAGATAAAAGGTTTTGTCGAAAGTCAATCTCACCACAATGGCAGGGTATAAAAGCAGAGAGAGAGACACTCAGTATCACACTTCTACTATGGCTTCCACTAACACTAAGAAACACTGGCTACCATTCAACGTCTTCTTGAACTGTCGTTACCGTCGTAACGAGAACTACTATCGCCCGCTGACACCTCGTGAGCGCGTGGAGGTTGTTGCGCTTCTGCTGAACGCAACACTACGATGCAAGATGTCGCACGCCGAAGTCGTTGCGCCACGCATTCTGTGGGATACATGCCCCGTCGACGTGGTTGCACACACTTCCAGCACCTGCTTACAGGGTCCAAAACGGACCATCCCGATGCCCGGCTCGATGGGCGTGCCTCTGGACGTCTACTATCAGCTCTACCACGACTTCAACACGAATCTGTGCGTACGAGCCCGTCATTCGAGCTGGAGGAATCAGTTACCCTCAAGACACTATTGAAATCTGTATCGATTAATTATGCCTGGAATAAACGATGATTCTATCGAAAAGTTTCGCTTCAAATGGCCTTTCAGCTGTTTTATCATGGGACCTTCAAATTCGGGAAAGAGCTTTTTACTGAAGCGCATGGTACAGTGGCTAGATGAACTTACCGACCCTGCCAGCGTGTGTAAGGGAATTCTAATGTGCTACAGTATTGACCAGCCGCTCTACCATGACTTGGTGGAAATGGATCCTCGCGTACGCTTGTATCAAGGACTCCCTACAGACGCTGACATTGAGTCTCTTCAGACTCCACACTTTATCGTGATCGACGATCAGTGCACCGAGTTGAAGCGCAACAAGACTGTAGTTGACCTCTTCACGAAAGGCGTACACCATCGGAACCATTCTCTTGTCGTGATTTCACAGAATGCGTTTTGCGGAGACCGGACAAGCCGGGTTAACGCCTCGTACCTCATCTTGACAAAGAACAACGCGGATCGGAACCAGGTCCGCGTCCTGAACTCTCAAATCTTCCCTGGAAGCCGTTTCCTCGTCGACTCTTACGAGGATGTCTGTGCGTCGGACGCCTACGGATACCTGCTGATCAACAACCATGTACTTGCCGATCCCAGACAGAGACTCGTGACCCACATCTTCCCAGACGACGTGGGCGGGGAGATTGTGTATATGCCTCGCTAGCCCCCATTTGCTCATTCATTTCTGGACATGACTAAACTAACTGCTGCTGATCGCAGGCTAACTGCAAACATTGACTTTCTCAAACGTCTTCACAAGACGAAAAATACGAAGCGAATTCTGAAGAAGGCTTCTTGCACTCAACTGGGATGCCTTATCGAATCTATGCACAACGTTAACGCTGGTAATGTGCCTCTGCACAAGTATGAAGTCAAGAAGCTGAAACGTCATCTTGGGACTATCGACGCGTTGTCACGTCAGCGTCAACTCTTAACGTAGCGTAGCGTCAACTCGTAGCGTAAAACGAAGCACTCGTTGAGCAACTGGTCGCGCGACTTCTTGGCTGATTTTTTACGTCGTTAAGTGTGCGACCTGGCTATTCCAAGGTATGATTTTTTCTTTTATTAATATAACATTTCTTTTGACCATTGACAAGACTTATAAACTAAATTTTAGTAACAGCCCAGACTCGCCTGACTTGGACTTTTCTGCCGTGAAGTAAGTTTTTTTGGTCTTTTGATTAGAAAGAATAGAACTTCTATGATATAAAAAATATATACTTAATGATTATGTTTTTAGTGAAGAATCAACCGGAGCTGATGGAGTTGCTGCTTTGGAATCTGCTGCCGAGAAGTTATGGTTATCAACATTTCGTCGAGGATGCGTTCGAGGATTGCGAGTTTGAGCAGCTCCGTAGGTATTTGAACGATCAGACTTTTCATTTGGAGCCCCGTCGTTCTGACGGCTCCATAGTTTTTCATAAGTTTTTCGATCCCACTTTTATGATCTCCCCTCAGCATTTGTATGTCTCGATCAATAACCTAGAATACTCGCTAAATTTTTATTTGAAAATTTTTACAATATTAATTGGGGTGTGGACAAGCATTGTCATTTCTATTTGTATCCTACTATATATAAAAAAATAGTGTCTGTGTGTTTGTGTGTGTGTGTGTGCCACTTTGCATGCAACTTCCGTCAGGGTGTCCGGAAGATATCTCAAGAAGGGAAGGGTATTAAGCGACGTATGATACGTCATTAGGTGCGTAATGGTTCTGGGATGACTGCACGCATATCAAATGTTGCAAATTCTGCTATTTTCGACATTAAAATTAAGTTTTTGTTGAAAAATCGGCCGATCTCTTTGTTAGGAAAAAATAGCATACTCCGGAAGTGACGGTAGCCTATATATAATGCGAGAGAGGGGCCTTTTTCATTTTTTCAATGCAGGGAATTCGAGAAACGTATGCAGAGTGAAGAATATTATGGGTTGGACAGGGCCAGGGTTGAAAAGTCGCGAAGCGGCTTTTCAACCCTGGTGGGTTTCTAAACTCTCATCCTTTCCCGCTCGCTATACCGGTTCCCATTCAGTATGTGCTAATAACTTTGCCGGAGGATATGTACCGCGATATGGCCAGGGATGTGCCTTATACCTCCCTGTGGGTCACCCTCTTTTGCCTGTAGGCCCTCTCTTTTGATGCCTCCCTTTTGCCCTCTCTTTTGATGCCTCCCTTACTACTTCCTAATTTTTCCGCTTTGCGCCTTGCTTTGTATCTGTGCGAAGCTCGTCGACCTGAGTGGAAACGTGGCAGGGCGTTTTCGGGAGCTTCAAAATGAGGTTAGGGACCCGATTCTCTCAATACTACCGTAATATAGCTGGAAATATGTGAGACGCTAAGGGGTGCTCGCTTGGAAAGAAATGTCGTGCTTTTGAGCGGTATCCCTGCCTTTTATATATTATTTTATTTTGAGACATGATATACTTCCATCAGCCCCAGTTTTGCCTGGTTTCTATGGAGCTTGTACATGGCCGCGACATTTCCTATTACATGTGTAGGTTAATATTTCTGGTAGCATTACCTCCTCTCTTTATCAGACAACTCCGGGGGGCTCGAGATGGAGGAGCTAGTCCATATCTACCGGCAGGTAGCGGACGCCCTCCATAGAATGCACCGAGCGGGTATTGTGCACCTCGACATTAAGCCAGACAACATTTTGCTGGAAAATATGTCAGGTAAAAAAGTCAGAGTTGGATTTCATGCTGGATTGGGTGTCGCGAAAATCTGCGATACGGGCCTTGCGACAAGGCGCCCACCGAGAGGAGTCCGTAAACGCACCTACCCGCTAAACCATTAATTCAATTATTTCTAGCAAAAAAAACACACTTAAAACGCAAGAAAGCGCGACGGATTTAACGATGGGAGACTTTTTGCGTTTCCCGCGGGAAGAATTTCATGAAATCTTAGGCATTCAAATTTGGACAAAAGAGTGGTACTTTTATCAGGTATTTGAACCAAACAAACGTGTCAAACTAATGATTTTTCAAGATAGCTTCCTTTTACGCGACGTCGATATCTGCTTAGTATCCATGCCATAAATCAACGGAATGGATTTAACGCATTTCAAATGTAAGGTGTATATTCATGTTTGACCGTTTTTCTTCTCAGACGGCGATGGTGGACTGGAGCTCTCGGAGCTGGCACACATCTACCGACAAGTGGGTATTGCTCTGGATATGATGCACAACGCCGGAGTTGTGCATCTCGACATAAAGCCGGATAATATCCTGCTGATCAAAGAATCAGGTATGTGAATAGAATCATACACTAATGACAAAATTTCCCCGAAGCCGATTTCATTTCGAAGCTAAAATCCCGTAGGCTCCCGCTAGGCATCGAATTCGTCGATAGAGGCGTGTATTGATTTATTTTCTTTTGATGTGTTTTTTCATAGGAGGCCAGGGAGAGGTTTTCCGTTACAAAATCGTTAAAACAATCAATCTAAAGGACAACCAGCATAAGAGAGACATATCCATTGAGGTTATATGAGCTTCAGGTTTTAACTGAAGTTTCAACGCTTTAGCATGCATTTTTCTACCCTCTAATCCATTAATTCAATTGTTTCTAGCAAAAAAAAACACTTAAAACGCAACAAAGTGCAACGGATTTAACGATGGGAGACTTTTTGCGTTTCCCGCGAGAAGACTTTCATAAAATGGTGCTAGGCGACATTAAAAGTGATGCATTCATATACCTTGCCGGGGGTAGTTCAGCCTCTATTTCACTCATTCAATTATTTCTAGCGAAAAAAACTATGGCGAATCTAATGCTCGGAGACTTTCTGCGCTTCCCGCACAAAGTTTTCGAAAAAAAAGTGCGAGGAGAGGGGGACACCGGCGAGTTCACCCACGTCGCCGGAGGTAGTTTTTGTTTTTTATGAATAGTTGATATTGATTTGTCATCGGTGGACAGGGCACGGTATATAAATGGGAGCGGGAAGCTCCACTACCTGCATTGGCCATTAAGCTTATGATTCTCTCCCTCGACCCTGAAATACGGGCCAGGGAGGTGAAGAGGGTCCGGACGGAGGTTTTTTTATGAGGACACCAGGGTTGAAAAGCCGCTTCGCGACTTTTCAACCCTGGCCCCCGTCTAAACCCATGATATTTTTCACTTTGCATTCTTGCATACGTTTCTCCATTCCGCTGTGAATAATGAAGAATGTCACTCTCTAGTTCTTTATATAGGCTCCCGCCACTACCGGTTTATTTAAATTGTTTCCTACCAAAGAGGGCTCCCGATTTTACAACAAAAACATAATTTTAAGGTCGAAAACTCCTGTTTTGTAAAATCTGATATACGCGCAGTCATCTCGTGGCCATGACGGACCTAATGGCGTATCATACGTAGACAATACCCTTCCCCTATTGAGATATCCTCCGGACAGCCTGACGGAAGTTGCATGCAAAGTGGCACACACACAGACACTATTTTTTTATATATAGTAGGATAACTCTAAAATTGGATTTTCTAGCCTCGCATTTGCGAGCACCTGAGGGGCCAGTGCGAATATGTGGTCGTCATCAGAGGTTAGTCTATCGTTCTAAAATGCTTATTTTTTATATGTATAGACGGTATCCACATGAAAGATCAGGGACGGTTCATATTGTCGATGGACCTGTTCCCCGGAGTCGACTTGGGTTTGTTCCAAGGTAAGCTACTAAAGGTATAAAGAAGACCCAGTAGATTAGGGATCATCTATATTTGGCACTGATCCAACCGGAAATGTTCATGCCAAAAAGAACTGAGGATAGAGGGGCCGAGGCAGGAGGGAGCAAAGAGACTTATGCTAATTTTAAAACGCTAAACTCCCCCCCCCGCAGTACTGGGTGTCCCAAAAAAAAAGCACCCCCCTCTAGCGGTCCGGGGGTAGCTCAGATCGGGATAATTTTTATACCATTCGAAAGCTCTCGGAAAGGCGAGAAAACAAGCGGGATTTATTTTATGAGATTTATTTTTATACGCTGGATATTCAACGTTTTTCGTTTTTCTAAAAAACAGGTAGATTTTCAATAGGAATTTCGCGATTAGCATGCAGATCTCGCGTAAATCTGCCGTTTTCATGGTTTTTGGACGTAAAATTTGCTAATAAAAATAGATAATAGAGCAAATGAACCCTCCTTGTTTTCTCGCCTTTTCAAGAGCTTTCGATAGATACCTAAACGATAAAAATCGGACATGACTGTGCGCCGCTAGAGGGGGGTGCTTTTTTTTGGGACACCCTGTAGTTTTGGAGATAATTTTTGAGGGTCGTCCACTTTGACTCCAATTTTAACCCCAAAAATTAACTTTTAAAACTTTTAGTTAACATTTTAGTCACGATCTTTTTTTATCTTTGATCGGGAATATCGTATAATATTTTTTACCTTTTTACAGCAAATTTGCGACTACTTGAATATGTCTGATCGTGACATCAAGCCGCCTCTACGCGATTCGGGGAACTGGACTTCAGTTTCCGTAAAATCGGATGAGGTGGAGGAGAAACCATGCATAGTTGACCGCGATTATCCGATTATCGATGCAATACAGTGAGTATATCTTTTATTTGCACTGTAAAGTGTTTTTACTCAAGTTTTTAATCTCGAATCGAAACTTAAAAGTTAAACTAAAACTTCCAGAGTTAAACTAAACAACTTAAAAGTCCAAGTCATTCAAGTCATCGACTCCGCAGCACACTTTTTCTTATTTTACCTTTCCTAGCTTTTCACAGTCTTTTCAAATAGCATCAGAGATTACTTCTTCTAGACCGCAATAACGTAATTTTCGATAGAATGAGCAACGCCTATGATCTGAATGGAGGGGAAGCCGATTATTGGGCTCAACCTGTGGAGCAAAAGTACTTTGTTCCAACTTCCCCCGTATTTCCATTGACCTATGATCCCCATGCAGCAGTTTTTCACCCATACGCAAAGCAAGGTGAGTGGATTTCCTGTTGCAATTCTTTTTTAGAAAAATGTTCCTTTTAAATCACCTGTTTTTTTAGCCCCGGAATCGAAAGAAGGCGAGGCACTTTTAAAAGCCCGGAAGCGTGAGTCAGATCTCCGCTACAGGCAGAACATAAAAAATGAAGATATGGCATGCAGGTATGTGTTTAGATTCGCCTGGTTAGAGATTACGATTCGAATAAGATTGTCAATTTTTTCAGAAACCTCATAGAACAGCTAGCCTCGCAGCAGATTTATGAGGAATATTGGACCCCGTTTAAAGCACTACTAGCAGCGCAAGTCAGCCTAGTTAGTCATTCTACATTGTCTTTACTCCAACAACCGGTGCGTTTTGGTACCGTCGTTTACTCTTTTATCTTTTCTTTAGACGCCAATTTTTTCAAAAAATGATTCGAATTCGGGGCGAGTTCTACAGGGTGTGCAAAAAAAAAAGCCCACAGTTTGCACCAAAATATCTCGCTTATAGTAGAGAATCGAAGGTACGTTACCATGTCAGAATGCTTAAATATGCTGGGTATGAAGATTTAACACAACTTGATTTTTTCGATTTTTGAGTACGAAACTGTACTATTGACGCTGATTACGACCGAAAATTGTGCGTTCTTGAACGGGTGGTGGGAAAATTCTGATTTTTGGCCTAAAAATAGTATAAATTTGTAGAAAGGTAATGGCAAAATCTTAGAATTTATCGAGGTCAATTTAATTTTTTAAAAGCAAAACAATTTTCGCGATATTGCGTTATTTTTGTTCTTTGAGTCATAACTCGCTTAAAACTCACTGCCCATGGCTGCTTTTTTGCCAATGGCTTATCCAAATATTAATCTCGGATTCCACACCAAATTCCACCACAATCTATGGTATTTTTGTATTGCTTGCTAAAACGTGCCCCAGTGGGGGTACTGTAGGTTTCGTTTTTACCGCTTTTCTCGGGACCCCTAGCTTCGATCCGGCTGAAATTTGCTGGGTTGTTTGGCAATAAGTAGGGGCGCCTTGCTGCCAAATACGAGAGCGTACTATCCACAAACTTTCATGAAAAAGACTAAAAACTGATTTTTTAATTCTGCCACCGAATCTTGTAAATTTTTTGGTCAGTTGGTCCATAAACCGCTTCTATTGGTTTTACAACAAGATCGAAGTGATTCCATGGCAAAAACCCCACGAAAATCGCAAATTTCGGTTTTCTACAGTAACCCACGTGGAGCGCGTTTTAGCATGCCATCACAAAATTCCATAAAGTGACGATTTTTCTATTCGAGGACCTTCTAGAAGTGATTGTAAGATAGTTTGTAAAAAATTACTGATTTTGGGTGGTAAATAACAAAGTTACGAGGCCCAGTGCAAAAAAAGGCCAGAAGGCCGATTTTTGGTCCGAGTAGCCGGGGTCAATTTTCGAATTTTTAAAAATAAAAAAACCAGCTGGGTCTTATGGATACGATTATAGCTTTAATGTTATTATCTACGCCCGTAACATTTGGGGGCAATCTGATTCAAGATCATGGTGACTTTCAGCTCAAAATCGAAGATCACCCTATTCCAAAATCGAAGTTTAGAAATCTTCTTAAAATTCTTGCGACGCGAAATTGCTTTAATCTTTGCATAGTTTGATTTAACTGATGGCACTGTCTTATTGCTCAAAATATCCCTACGACTCCACCTTCCAAAATTTTTTTACGCAACCTCCAAATCGGTTTATTTCGGGTTTTGATGAATTTTCTTGGCTCCAACGGCTGGTTAAAAAAATTCATGAATGAGGGTTTAGGATGCGCTATTTAACTAGTATCAGATAAAAATAAAACGATAATTTTCACAGCGCGACTAAATTTTATAAAATGGTGGCAAGGTTCGGAAAAAAGCACGAACTAACCGTTTTGGAGGCCGTAAAAGACGCCCCTCTAAAGGGGTACGGTAGCTCGAAATTTTGTAGATGATTGATAAAGCCCAGTACTACATAGTTAAGCAAAGAAAATAGCTGAGTCCCCTTTGGCAATTTAAAAATATTTTTCTAAAGTTCAGTTTCGTGACCTCGAAAAAATCCATGACCAGGGGGTCGTTGAAAAACTCAAAAATTCATCGATCTCAAAAAATTCTTTAATATGTTTATGCGATTGTGTCAAGCCTGTAGGTATTCCACAACAACTGATTTTGAGATTTTCGCCATAGGTTTTTTCAATAATAAAAATTTACGAAATTTCTCCATACAAAATTTCATTCCTTTCTAACTTTTCAACCAGACCCTCAAAAATTCTTAAATTTTGTAGGTACATATCCGCGGCCTATATTAACTTACTTAATAAAAATTAGATGCCAGCCACCACAGGAAACTGAGAAAAATACAAATGAAGTTTCCCCGAACGCACAGTTTTCGGGTGTCATTTGTATTGATACGTCGCCAAAAATCGAAAAAATCAAGTTGTGTTAAATCTTCATACCCAGCATATTTAAGCATTCTGGCATGGTAACGTACCTTCGATTCTCTACCGTTCGCGAGTTATTTCGACCCAAACTGTGGGCTTTTTTTTTTGCACACCCTGTACAACTTTCCCGGGGGTGCATTCCAGCAAATGCTGGTAGATGACATGCCCCGGGATGGGATTGAGTTCATCAACGAAGGTGTGCATTAGTCTTTTATCCTTAGCTTCTTTTATCGTAGGAGGCCAAGGGGCCGTTTATAAATGGGCCCGCCCGTCCGGTGGACCCATTGCCTTCAAGCTCGTCGACCTGAGTGGAAACGTGGCAGGGCGTTTTCGGGAGCTTCAAAATGAGGTTAGGGACCCGATTCTCTCAATATTACCGTAATATAGCTGGAAATATGCGAGACGGTAAGAGGTGCTCGCTTGGAAAGAAATGTCGTGCTTTTGAGCGGTATCCCTGCCTTTTATATATTATTATTTTATTTTGAGACATAATATACTTTCATCAGCCCCAGTTTTGCCTGGTCTCTCTGGAACTTGTCCAGGGCCGCGACCTTGACACGACCACGGTACACGCGACACGTGTAAGTTAATGATTTCGGGTAGCATTACCTCCTCTATTTCTCAGACAATGCCAGTGGTCTCGACATGGAAGAGCTCGTCCATATCTACCGTCAGGTAGCGGACGAAACATCCTACTAAATAATGAAACAGGTATGTGAATTTTTGACCACTAATGAATGTTTAGGAGTTGTCAAAATTTGCGACACTGGACTTGCGGCATGGGCAGCGCACGACCCGATATCAAAATTCGGTTGCACGGATTGTTCAATGAAATTATAGAGTCAGTAAGTTTTTCATTTCTTTGGTTTTTAGGATATGATTTTAAAACAAGAAAAATATCAATACATACAATCCAATTTCAGCTCCATACCACAAAACCTCCTCACCACGCTTCGTATTGATGCGCGCCATTTAAGGACTTTCGAAATTGCATAGCTATCGTTTGGATCCGTGAATATTTATAAACCGGCCACTTCCATTATGGGCTTTTCGACTATTACAATATTAAATATTTACCCAAAATGTATGTTGTCCAAACCCCTGATGTTTTGCTTGGTTCACCAAACTCTCACCCTCAATGCCAGCTTAAAATATTTTTTTCTGATGTCATAAACCATTTTAAAATTGCTGCGTAAATGTAAATACAGTATATTGAGACCCGATAGACTACAAAATAAGGTTTATTCCTCCACAAGGTAGAACAAAGAATTCGAAAAGCTCCTAAATCAACTAAAAAATATTTTAATTAAATAGAAAAGTCAGGAAATAAATCCAAAAAGCTGTAGAATAATTAAAAAAAGTCAAAAGCCCAAAAAATAATTAGAAAATCGGCTAAATTCATCAAAATGTGGATAAAGTAATTTCAAGAAAACAGTTTTTAATTTCCCATCCGTTTTCCCCTTCGGATTCCCTATAGATGACGCGGATTAAAAACAGCGGGAGGGACGAGGGGGAGAGGGCTCTGCATTTCCATATCGCGCAAGGTCATATTCCATACCACGCTATCCTAACTCAATAACGCGCCTACTTCTTAGCACCAGCATATGGCGGTATTTCTGGTTTTTGCATTGTTATTTTTGCAATTTGTATTCTATATTTTTTTTAATCTTTGAGCTCTGTAGCTTAACCTAAAGGGGCTACAAAGTTTGGTCTGTTTTCCCCCAGCAAATAGCCAGATAGCCGCGACCGCGCCGCTTTTTGTGCTTGAAAAGCGTGAATTTGCACATTCTGACGTCATTTCTGGAATCCTCACCTAATTTTAATTGTTATAAACGTTTCAATTATCAAAATCACAGAATCACAACAATCACCGAAATTGAGGAATTGGGCAGTACGACATGCAATCACCGCGCGCTTAAAGGTCGATTTAGCCCCCGAAAACATTTCCCTGTTCGGAAATTTTTCATTTTTTCGCTGCCAAATCAGTTTCCTGGTGTATGTTGCCAGTAATCCCCCCATTTTAATTGCTTAGATTTGCCGCAACACAGGGCGATCTTTATAAAAATTTTATTACAGGTCCCCGCGACTTCAACTTGAGTGATTTCCCCATCTCATGGCGATTTTTCGATAAATCCGCCAATAATTTGAGTGGAACTTGTGCACTTTAAAAGAAAATTATTGAAATTTTTGAGGTAGGTTTTTTTTGAAAGATATTATATTGATTGGATGGAGCCCTAAAAAATAAATAACAAAATCTAAAACACTGAAGACAGATTAATTTTAGTTGAATTCTGCGATTGGAGGTATACCTCACCGGTACCTGACTCAGATCAGACAGTACGGTATTTCCTATCTGATTCACGACCCGGAAACGGTTCCATTTAAGCAGGAACTTCTTTCAATACAAATCTCTTAAAGACTCGACAGCATTACTATAAAAATGCCCGACTGTGAAGTACCGACTGTATTGACAATAGAGCATCCGAGGAGCACTGATGACGTTTTAAAAGGCCGTCCGCGAGCCACCCGAACAGCCCCTAATATGGCTTGGCACAATCTTTTTCGACCCCGTTTTTTGACGGCATCTGAAAGAGCATGGTCGAATTAGTAGGGCTGCACAGTTTTGAAAGTTTAAAAAGTTAATTTTTGGTGTTAAAATTGGAGTCAAAGTGGCCGACCCTCAAAAATTATCTCCAAAACTACTGCACCAAATTGGTTAAAAATTGGTGACAATACCTAATTTGGGATGGGGAACATTTCTCTAATACATCGTGAAGCACGAAAATGAGCGGAACATCGGAATCTCGCGTACACAAAACCGTAATTTTGGATTTTGTATTTTACGGGTTTCCGAGGGTAACTTCTTTTTACTATAGAAAGATGCATCAGAAAATTTTGCATTGAATGATGTATTTCTCATTTTACCCTCCGGTTCCCTAGTTCCGCTATAAAGCATTTACTGCGCGCAAAACAGCCCCCAGACTAGGCCAAAAACCTCAAAAATGACAGATTTTGAAATTGAAAATATCAAATCGTATCTAGAGAACGAGCTGAATCGATTGCAGAAAAGAGCAAAAAGAAATAACGTTTTTGAAGGGGGCTGGGATTGAACTGGCGCGGCCCTTGGATTGGTAGGCGAGCACTCATGCAATCCACCACGGCCCCAGAGAGGGCTTCCAGGCGAAGGGTCCGAGTTCGATTCCTCCCGGATCTCAGCCCATATTTAGAAGCCGAATTTCTTTTTGCTCTTTTCTGCAATCGATTCAGCTCGTTCTCTAGATATTAATTTGATATTTTCAATTTCAAAATCTGTCATTTTTGAGGTTTTTTGGTCTAGTCTGGGGGCTGTTTTGCGCGCAGTAAATGCTTTATAGCGGAAATAGGAACTAGAATTTGTAAAGTTTTTATAAGGGTATTTTATAGCTTACAGTAGTATCCGCGCCCCTCGCTCGCAGTGGTAAAAATATAAATATAAATCGGTAAATTCGCTGCATAATTAGACGTTGATTTATAGAGCGAGTCGTGATTTTTGTGAATCCGGAATATGCCCTGAGGGGTATACATGGGTCGACGCTTGCATGCGCCGCATAAGCGTGGCCGGCCACGCTCTTCCGGAGCGTGGATAGCCACGCTGGCGCGCGTGCCTCTTAATAAACCACGCCGAAATGAGCGTGGCCCGCCACGCTCCGGAAACGCTTATGCAAAGTTTCTAAAAATGCAAAATCAAATTTTTCCAAGGGACGTGAAAGCAAAAATCGATCGGTTTTGGAGAATCCAACTAACAGTAAGTTGAATCAGGATCTATCTTGTTTCTTTATCAAAATTTAAAGATGACCCTGATAGTTTTGTATCGGCAATTCAGTTTTGCGAATCGAAATCATAAATATATGTCCTTTAAATTTTTGATTTGCATCTGGAGTTAAATCGCGCGCGTGAAAAAGCACGCATAAAGCGCCGCAAAAGCGTGGTCCTCCACGCTCCGGAAGAGCGTGGCCAGCCACGCTTATGTGGCGCATGCAAGCGTCGACCCATGTATACTGAGGGGGATATGGGGGGATGTGTCCATTCAAATAATATGACAGTCGACAAATGATAAGAGAAGGGAGCAGGGGAGAGAGATTGACTCCCCACACACGAACCCAATCAGCCACTCGGATATGCTGATTTTTGCGCAGTAGATTCGGAAAAGCTCGAAAAATGCGAAAAATTTTGCTCCTCAGACTTCCCAAAAGATTATTAAATGTTGGTATTGTCTGTAAAATTAGTTTAATTTTTAGAGGTAACAATTTATTCAAAAAAATTCTCGTTCCGGATTAACACTGGAAAAGGAAAGGAGTTTATTCAGCACATTTCATCGAATTCACGACAATAAGACATATCTGGTAATGGACCCTTTAAATAGTCTAGAGAATTGATATCATCAAATGTCGGTCGGTAGTTTGCCTGAAAATCAAATGTGGCATTCGGTATCTGGTATTCGACAAATATCTCGCATCGAATTAACATACCGTCCATACCCTCGCGTTATTCCATTGTGTTTCCGGTGCCACCGTCCGTTTATACGTCGATTCATTGATCTTCTCCGATGTCACTTTCCTGGTCTCATCTTTTGCGATGATGCCCAACTAAAATTTCGTTTTTTCTTACAGCCTCTGGATACTTTTAATATTTGATTGGCAATTACTCGGCATCTTCCAACATGATCCAACATTTATTTGGACTGACTGACCTGCATTTGCTCGTATTTATCGATATCGGAGGGAGAACCAATGGAAATGTCGAAGTATCTGTATGTCCCTAGTATAGTGGAAGACAGATGATGTCCTACCGATTCGATTTATAATACAAGAAGAGACGCGTGTTGGGCTGAAATTGGGGCTTAATAATGACCATGAAAATAGTCATTACCTTGTTGCAATGGAAGATACAGAGAGATCGGATAGTACTAAATTAGAATATCTATAAAAAGTATACAAATGTTATTGTTTCTCGCGGACTAATAGATGCCGATCTACCGCCCAACTCGAAATCCCCAACTTGTAATGTCGACACATAGAATCAGTGACCAGAGATGAGAGGCCACGCAAAATTATGTGTTCCAAATTTCCCGAACAGGCTAATAAAAAGAAGCTACGCGTCTATTGTGAAAATACACGGAAAGTATTTGTTTGGATATTTTCGAGGATGTCTCTTGATGCTTACCTCCTCTCCCCTTCGTATGTAATCAACACAACTCGAACATTATATTTCTCCTCAAAAGCCTTCTGTTTCTCACCGATAAATGGGAAATGCTGAATGGAATAATTTAATATAATTGGAAGAATCCGGAGTACCCAGGGGCCACTGTGGATGTAAAATCCATTACCCTGTGATGTCCCTTCATTCAAAAGTTTCTAAAATGAATCTTTATCTGGTTGTCTATTCTCATGGCCTACCTGAATACTTCGAATGACAAATGATGAACAGTTGATCCCATCCTTTCTCGACTCAGCACCTATTGGTCATATTACAGAACGTATCATAAAAGATTCGCTTCAAAAATTACTCAAGGAAGTCCAATGAAACATAACATTCTGGATTAAACTTGCATATCAAAACTATTCTTAAAAATATCCCAACTCGATTGCCGCAAGAAATTTCTTGGCAATTGAATAGAAAAAGAAGACGATTACCCCACAACTCTAGTCGTTTCCATGCACCGGCACATTCATAAACTGCCATCTATAGAACGGTTTATATAAAAAGGGGGGCATGTTTTACCTCGGATGGATATTCTTGACTCTTGCCAAGTGCAAGCTGGCCGCTGGTTCTCGACAATACTCCCTAAATTTTTTTAAGAATGTTATGTTTAAAAAATAACGTGAAAATAGAAATTAAGAAAGGGGGTAATTCCCTCGAAAATGCAAAAACACCGTACGCGGAATATTGGAGAATGAAGGATATTCATCATCCGGCTGATATCACAAGATTTGGCTGCAGAAAAGGAGAGACGCAGATAACGATTATATTCCCGGCAATTCCCTCAAATTGTTTTTTATTATGCGAAGATATAATACCTAATCCCTCAACGAAAGAAGAATACACTTTCTGAAGGTCCGTTTTTCCCCTCCCAAATCGATGCTCAGTCCCATCGCCTGACATTCTAAACCTTGCGCCCTTCTAATATAACCAACCACGTACCCAATGTCAAGTTGAAACCCAACTTCAGATGTGAATTGCGCCGGCTGAAATAGCCAAAACTACAGCCTTCCAAATGTCTTCTCACAATCATTTTCCTCTCGATCGCTTTCTTCACCCATTTTTCTCTTTCATCCACTGTCACTTCTTTTCCTTCGCTCATTGTGTCGACCATTTCCACAAATGCCTCAGAAACTTGGTGCTGAATAAACAATTTGTAATAGCCTTTGTATTGTGAAAAAGCCACGTCCGGAAGAAATCTGTCCGGAAAAAACTAACAAGGGAACCACCCGAGAGCGAGGTGGCGTTTCGTTATGGGACCTAGCCCATTTTGTGCAGAATTTTTCGCTGATCCCGAAACCGCTGCTCATTTCTGCCAAATAGCTCGTTTTAAAAAGTCATAGCTCTTCAAAGTTCCATTTTTTCCCAAATTTGTCAACTTCAAAGCCATTTATTTTGCGTTTCCCGGCTGATTCATCATAAACGAATGTCGCCATCGTATTCAGAAAATTTTTTTCTATCGAATGAGCTATTTAACTAAAAATTGTTGAAAATCGAAAAAATCGACGATATTGAGTATGAGTATGATAATGAGTACGATAAAGGAATGGACTTCGTTTTTTGTATGGGACATGGTGAAAAACAGGCTATTTCTCAACCCTATAAGTGATCGTCGATAGGTAGTAGCGCACTAATCATATATACCATTCGAATCGGAAAAAAATTCTCTACAAGATAGGCTATTTAAAATGGACTGGCATATTAAAATAAAAAAGTTAGGCGTCGTGACAGATGACTTCCCGCGGGCTCAAATATGATCTTAAAATCGCCGTAAATTTTTAAATCGGGCTGTTTGGCAAAAATTGAAAGCGGGTTCGGAATCAGCAAAAAATTCTGCACAAAATAGGCTGGGTCCCAAAGCGCAACGTCACCTCGACCTTAGGTGGTTCCCTTGTAAGTAACTGATTGTCAACCAAAAATTGTCTCATACCTCGTAAAAATCAAGCTCGATCATGGTGGCCACACTGCTCATTTCGGGTTCTAGAATTGACTGAAAGGACGCTTGGAAATGAGGAACCTGCTTGAATGCCAATTTCTGTCGAGATCCCTACTTCTCCATTGTCAATTAATTGCTAAAAAGAGCCAAATTGAAGTCAGAGTATCAGCAGACCTGAAATCCCGTATTCACTCGATCGATTTGCCGTTGAACATCACGAAGATAATTGAGATAATTGAGACAAAAGGAGTGATGTTGATTGACAGCCATCACATATTCTGCACAATTTCTTGATTCTCTTATTGTGGCCATCAAATTCTGCACTTTCTGAAATGGCTCTTTAGAAAGGGATTTCCGCAAGATAGTGTAGAAAGGAGTGTAGAAAGTGGTGTGATAATTGTATCGACATAACGTTGGATTGCATTTGAATGAACGAGCACCTGTATTATGGAAATTGGAGCTTGTACGGTCTACAGATTCTCTCACAAAGGCCTCTTCCAGCGGAATCCACGTATTTTCGGGTTCATTGTTGAAATAGTGATATTTCTGATAGCATTTAATGCAGTGGATCAGACGAGGTACCTAACAATTTCCATCAGTCTTTCTGTTTGCCTAAAACCCACATTTTCACGCAACACTTCCAATTCCACTTCACCCAAAGTTCTGCCAGTGTCATTTTCGAATTCTCGCCTTTTCATCAGCATATCATCCACCGGTTTTTCATTGTTATGACAGCGTGTACAACGGTATTTCTCTGTACACCACGATTTCTAAAAAAAGACAGAATAATAAGGCGGGAGCCCTGTCCCCACTATCCAGTGTCCGTCTAACTGTATGCTGCTGCGATGCGCCCTCTCCCAAGGCACTTTTTCCTTTTCAATTTGTTCACGATTTCGAGTTCTAGTTTCCTCTCCCCTCCTTTCCGCCGTGATGCTCGGCTAATAGAAAGTTTTATAATTGTTCGTATCGCTGTGCTCAACATTTTTTGCAAGACACAACATTAAGGATAATGAAACATACCCAATCTTCGACGGAATACATTGCTGGGGTAGTCTACAGAGGAAAAGTGTTGAGAAGACTAGCAAAGTGAGAATGGCTTCCAGAAGAAAAAGACTTTTGCCCGCTTATCAGAATTTGGACCCGCCCATTTCCTTGCAGCAAAAATTTGTGCCACCTCGCCAGGAAATAATCGATATCTTGGAAGCAGCTTGTACAAAATATGGATGGAACGGCACAACAATGAGTGAGAATGGATGATTGTTGTTCGTTTCTTGTTGTTTGAGAATCAAACAACTCAAAAATCAAGTTTTGTAACATATAACGAGCGGTCAACCATTTTTCTGAAATAACATGCTTCGAAAAATATATGATCTCTGGCATTGCTTGATATCGATGTTTCTATGCGATTAATAAAGGGTTCGGTGGATTTTCTGTACAGCGACGGGCATTTCCAGCCATCAATTCCAAGGTTTGGCTAAACGATAACCCTAATTTTCCGAGCTAGTCAGCTCGATACAGAATTTCGCCTTTTTCTCTTTTTCATTCTCTGCCAGAAAAAGGAAAGGAAAATAAGAACTGAAATTATTAGATTGGGCCGAAGGTTCGTACAATTCAGCTTCGGGAAATGCCTTCTAAACATTTTGTGAGTCGATGCGGTCGTTTCTTGTTTCCATATACATATTTGTTGTGTCGAATATCATCTAGGATAAAAATGACAAGTATTAAGTTCCAGAGTTTTTCATTATTATGATGTTTTGTCTTCTGAAAATTTTAGTATGTGAATCATTTGCGTTTTTGAAATTTCTACGCCGTTCCTGTAGATCGGGCCTGATTAGGCAATTATAGTTACAATATTAACGCCGCAAAATGCTATCATTTCCGGTCGGGGCGTGTCTTGGCGGATACGCAGATGTCGCGACTCTCGCCCGAAGCGTGCCAATCCGGGGTAATTTCCCCATCAGTCTGCTTGGAATACCCCCTTTAGACTCTATAGATCATACTTGTCTGGTAGTATTAAGAATTAGTGCTGTAAAATGTTATAATTTCCGGTCGGGGCGTGCCTTGGCAGATGCGCAGATGGTACGTCTTTCCGCCTAAAGCGTGCCAATCCGGGTCAGCCTCTCATCAGTATGCCCAAAATCCCTCTTTAGACCCGTCGAAAAGTCCCGTTAAATCTTACTTACCCTATTTCCTCTGATAGGACCCCAAAAAGTTGTTAAGTTGCATTTAAAAGACAAAAAGTGCGAAAAAGTTTCTGTTTATGCGTTTTGTGGTGCTCGGAATAAGTTATAAGCAGTTCGGACTGCTAAAAAAACTTCTAAAAAGCTCAAAATCGTAAAAATGGATTCTTTCGTCTAATACAACCCCATGCCTGGCGTCATTGAAAAATTAAAACCCGGGGACTATATTAGAAGAAATACGGTATTTAATCATTGATTTGTCACTGTATCGTAGTATATGCTTTTCATGCTCTATCGAAATGGCCTATCCAAAATGCCAAAAAATAGCGAAAATATCGAAACCTGGCTTATGGGACCCTACGTTATTTTATATTCCGGTTCTTTAGGATTCGCGGGGGGGGGACCAAATTTTTTTCGGAAAAGGCCTAGATTTTTTTATGAATTGCCTACGCGTTTCTAAATTGTTTTTAACTATTCCTAAGCATAAAAACTACACACATTTTAACCAAAATAAATTTAAAAAATAAAAACTAGGTCGAACAATCCTATAGAACCTTTAGGATTCGCGGGGGGGAAGACCCAAAATGACCAAATTTTCGACTTTTTCAAACATTTTCTAAATTTTTCTGAAAGTTATGCTGCTTTAAATATAGTTAAAACTTACTAAAAACCATTCGAAAACACTTTATATTTGATTACTAGGTCACCCGGGACCACCAGGAAAAAAATTGGTTTCCCCCCCCCCCCCGGGAATCCTAAAGAACCTATATTCCAATCTTTTTGGGTTGCGATTAACACTCTAAGTATCATTTTTGAGGCTCTATCGAATGGCATAGCCAACATCCCGAAAAATAGCGGAAATTCCAAAACTTCAGGACCCTCGAGGTGGGGGTGGGGTAAAGTAAACCATAGACTTTGATTTCCCACTATATTACCGTATTTTATGTCATTATTTATTACCTTCTAAAAAGCCACTCTTCCCATGATTAATTTTCTTAAATTTCAGGTTTCCACGGACTCAGCTTGGGTGATTTCTCCAAATGCCAGCGGTTTCTTAAAAAAAGGCCGCCCATTCGAGTGCAATTTCTGCACTCGTCTCTCTGAATAATGCATAGAGCATCATAAAGTTGGTTTCTCATCCAAAATTCAAATTTTCGCCCTTATAAATCAAAAATATTTAATTAATGGATGTTTTTAGAAATGGTTTAAACTACGAATGACAATGGATTAAACTGTATTGGCAACGCGTATAGCATAATAAGGTTTGTTTTCAAGAAACAATTCAGATTATAGCCTTCGGATCGATAAATACCTTAGTTTAATGGATGATTTTCAGAAAAGAACCAGGCACACACCGGCTAACATCGAAAATTGGCTAACGAAACAAAATTTATTGACCTAAAGCCATGTTGGATTTGATCGAATTTATCAAAAAAAAAACGGGTAGGTAGAATCAAAGGATTTTCATCAAATTTAAATCAGAATTGTACTAATAATTAGACAGAAAGCGTTTTTACGCCGTTTTTACTCATCTTGAAATTCAAAGCTCCGCCATCCGTCATTAAAAATTACAAAAAAATATTTTTTGGACCGGAAATTATCTTTCTTGAATGAATTTCAAATAAAGTATAGATTCCCGGTTTCACTTAGTTTTCTACCGGAAATATTGCCCAAAACACTTGAATTCTTGATTAAAATTTTGTTATTTTTAACGCAATTTACTATACTTTAATTTTTTGAATTTTATCAACAGTTTTGTGGGCTAATAATATTCCGTTCGCCAGATGTTTTTATAGCCCTCGATTTCAAGGGAGCGGGGAACTTGTATAACATTCGATGCGGGGTCTGCTGGAGGCTCTGAGCATGATGTAGAGTGGCTGTAAACGTGGGATCCTTGCCAAAAATATTGACAGAAATCGACTTCTGGCGCGCATACTGCGCCTATTTTTCTTTCTGCGAATCACTCCCACGGCTACATTGCCACATTTTTGCCTAATAGCGGCATTTATTACGATTTTTATACATTGACTTTGGGTAATGAAGTCAAGATTAGCCTTTTCTCCGATTCTTTCTTGCTTGATGTATCTAGCTTGATAGTTTTACAAGGACCGGAAAGACCCTGTCAATTCATATAAAACAGGTTTTAGTTTGAAAAATTACGTGAATTGTCGGTACTGAACTATTAGCAGGGGTAGGGGATTTTGAGCGGGGGAAGACTAACTTTTAACTTGCAGCCAAAGCCTACCCGTTCATAATATTTAATATTTAATTTAGTAGTGTTTTTAACGTTTTTTGCTTGATAGGAAGCTATAAAAATATTTTTAAAGTATAAAATTATGACCTTTGACCTTCATTTTTCATATCTTTTTGAACAAAAGTAAAAATTTCCGTAAAATTTTACAATTTTCCATAAATTTTTTATCTCTAACAACCATTTAAAATGTCATTAATGTCATTTTGTTGTAGGGCCCTGAGAAATTACTGAGGAAAAATCTGTCAGTAGAATTTAAACACGGTTTTGTCCGGTCGATGAACTTTTTCCCATTATGCTTCAAAATATTTATCTGAATGACGCTGTTTTCAGAAAAGCTCAACAAGGAGCCGGCCGTGTGGCCCGGTTGGGCCCCCCGCCGCTGGGCCGCCCGCTGATGGGCCCACCGCCGGCAATAGCCCCCACCGCATCCGATGGGCCCGCTTCCAATGGGTAAAAACAAAAGGTAAAACTTTTGTTCCGGGTTCGGTTTGTGTCCCACTTTTAGCATATACCGTAACGTGGCATTCTAAAACACAATTTGTCTAAGATCTTAGACAATTCAAAAGCGGACCGCACCTTTAACCTTAGCTCATCGAATATAGAACACTGAAATTCCTTTAGTCATAGCTAGTCGCATTTCACCCTCATAACCTTTTTTTGCATTTGCTTCAAAAGATTTATTTGAATGAGAGTATTTTCAGAAGGTGCCAAAATGTCCTACAACCAAACGCAGATGATGGGCCCGCCGCACCCGTACGCCCAGCCGATGAGGGCCCCACAGCACCCGTACGCCCCGCCGGTTATGGGCACGAGTGCACCGATAGGACACCAGCCCCACATGGATACCACACAAATGATGTATCCAATGTCCCTATATCAAATGCCGATGATGTATCCTCAGACATCAATGGATTCCCGGATGCCACAGCAGATTGTACATCATGTATGCCCATCCGATGATGTACCCGATGGGCCACCAGCCAGCCATGGGCCCGTACGCCCCGATGCGCCATGCCACCTGCTTGCGGAGGAGGCGGTGGAGGCGGTGGATATGAAGCCGCTCATCGCGGATCGGGACCCCACAGTGCCTCCCGTGGCGGAGCCCGAGCTGGCTGTGACCGCAGCCGATGCGGTGGAGGCGGAGGCCGTGCCCGCAGCCCGGCGTGGAGGCGGATGCGGAAGGGGTCGAGAATATCGACCCGGAGGCCCTAATGAAAGGGTGGGACGACTTCTTTGGGTCGGCCACCTCTGCACCTCCCCCGGCACCCCGACCTCCTCGAAGACGGGTGGCCCGAAAAAATGCAGTGATGGAAATTTGGTAAAAACTAGTTTTAAAAAAATTGATTGACGGATCCGTTTAGATCCATGATCGACGAGATCAAGCGAATGCCGTTAGAAGATTGGGGGCTAAAAAGCTTGCACGAAGCACTAAGAGAACACCAAAAAAATGTGCGGTCGTCCTGTAAGTTTCCTTATTTTTTATTAAAGGGCTGCCGACGGCATGTGTCGATCCCCCCATCAACAAATTGGCAAGTGGCCAACAGGGGAGAGAGCGCGCCCAGGGGAGAGGCGCAGAAACATTTTCTTTCCCGCGCGTAATCGATGCCATTATGCCGCCCCTATCCCTTTAATTCGAAAGTGATTAAATTTTCACTATACAAAAAAATTTTCAGACTGTGGAGCGTATCGCGCAGAAGGGTCCCACTATACATCCGCACACAAAGAGGAGTTGGGATTCAGGTAAGATTTTATAAATATATTTTTATATGTTCAATTTCATCATCAAGCAAATTCATGATTTTTAGGTTCAAGGTCTACCCGAGGCTGAACGATGCAATGAAGAAGGGAGGCCCAGGAGCCCGCATGATCCGCGATGCCATCGATTACTACGGGATCAATTAAATATCAGGGGATAGGGGATGAGACCAAGGGCATTCGTTCGGCAGCATCAGACAGTTTTTTCCTTTAGCTTCCAGCTTATTTTTCAAGTTTTCTATTCTTCAGAAACGAAATGTGCAAATTATCCGGAAGCTTTGGCGTCGTCCCTATTGAGGAGTTTTTGCTTACGGCCAACGACTATGAAGCCCGCTCGGGCATCCGCTTTGTCGCTAAGGGTAAGTTAGATCTGCCAGCCTATAAACCTTGAAATTTAAGAGGACAAGGCGAGGTTTACGCCTGGCAGTCGGGACAGGGCAGGGAGACCATCGCCGTCAAGCGAGTGGCGCTTGACGGCGACGATGATTATCGGGAGCGACAGATCACCGGCCTGATAGATGAGGTAATTTTAGGCAACTAGCTAATACATTCTGATTCTAGATGGAGATCGCAGAGCTTCTGCGAAATGGAGGAGAGCACAGAAATGTCATCACGATACAGGGTGAGTTACTTAATTAATGAGATCGTGATGACGAAATTATTTTTAAGAGCTGCATTATATGCCGAGCCTCGACAGTTACATTATGGCGATGGCTTTCGTGCCGGGGAAGGACCTTTTCTCATTTCAATGTAAGTTAGTAAAACTCAGACATGGGAATTTCGGCCGGCCGGCCGCGGCCGACCGGCCGAAGGCCTCATTAGCATAAAAAAATCGGCCGTTTCCGGGCCGCCGACTCTATGCAAATGACTTCCGGTCGGCCGATCGGCCGGCCGACTTTTTGCCTGTGCCTGTGGCGATGCCCGTGGCTGAGCCCTTGGTGAAGCACGAGCTGGCCGAGCCCGCGATCGACACAGTGGAGGCCACCACGGAGGTGACCGAGCCAAGCAATGGAGCCGTGGCGGTGCCCATGGCGGATGACGTGGATGAAGCGGTGTCGTAATGGATCTGGCGCAGGTCAGGTGCCAGAGACGGTCTGCCTACAATAGTGTAATGGGGGACTAAGTCATGACACTAATGCCGCAAAAATAATACAAAGACTTTCAGGAAACCCCTTCGCTGAGCTCCAGTCCCTCCCAATCTATCCTAAATACAACGATTGATAAAGTGAATAAAGTGTATTTTTTCGATGATGTGCAATTGCAACGGTTCTTTTTAAATAAATATATTTATTCAAGAAATTGTATCATCAAATGCAGAGATATTGATTTTGGTTTTTTTAATGAGTTGGGTTGGGCGTCGAAGTCGCGGCAGTTGAGTTGGGAGCAGAAGTCTTCTAATATTATACACCACAATACTACGGCGAGGTGTTCGACTTCGAGACAGAAATTTGGAAGTATTGTGAGTCAGACGTGAACGTCCTGATGTCGGGCGTAATGCTGTTCCGGAAGAACCATGTTTAAAGGGGAGGATTTTGCCCTTTTGCCTCGTGCGCTACGCTGGCATCCACTTGCATGCTTTTGTTTTTAATGAAATTTTACAAGGGCCAGCAAATCGCGATGGTAAACGAGGTCCCTGAAGGAGCCGACCGCAAATATTTCAAAAGATGCCACCCCAAGGCATTGAAGGCACGCCTTCTCGCCCAAATACTCCCAATTTGGGTCAATTTTCGAGTGAGACGCCTAGGCCAATCAGCATGGTCAACAGTTTTTGATTTTTTACATGTCATTTGGTCGCTTTTTTCTCTAATTTTAACCAACAAACATACATGAACTCATACCATCACTCTGCAATCGCTTTCAAAGATTTAACAAATTAAAAGAACTTACGTTTTAAATTTTTAAAGATTCAAACATTTAAAAATTAAAAGAATTAAAGAACACGGACAAAATGGTTCCCCCCGCTAAAAATTTCCAGACCTGAACAGTCCAGGACCGAATTTCGCTTGCCCGTATTTATCCCTCCTCCTTCATTCTCTATGTACCGTATTCCTATTAAAAAGGCCGATAATGGGGCCGGGTATCGCTTGGGGCAAACGATACCGCCCCAAGGCATTTATGGCACGCCCTCCCGCCCAAATCATCCCGATAGGGGTCAATTTTTGATTGGCACGCCTAAGCCAAACAGCTTGGTTAAAAGTTTTTGATTTTTTACATTAATTTGGTAGCTTTTTAACTAAATTTAACCAATTACGATCCCATCCTTGATTTGGTTCTGATTTTCTCCTAATTACTTTCTTTCCTTTCCCCCACTTTATTTTCTAAATCAAGTCGGTAATTGATTACCATATTTATTTTGTCAGCTACAAAGACTTTTTATTCTTACTTATTTAATTCCTTTTACAGGTTTCCACGACTTCATCTTGAGTGATTTCTCCGTCCTAGCGGTTTCTAATGAAAACCGCTCCCACTTTGCGCCCGTTTATCTGCGCAAAAAAATGAATAGAGCATCAGTAGGTCAGTTTCTTTAATTGGAAATGCGGCTACGGCAGTTGCAAAAGGAGGTGAAATGCGTGATTTCTCACACGTGACCTCCGTTCGATGTCAATCAGCAAATGATCAAGTCCGTGGTAATAGAACCCGGCCTAGATGAGCGAAGAGTTGACTGAAGCTGACCGAGAATCTCGTTTTTTCAGGGCATCACACAGATGAGGATCTTTCGTTCGGAGGCGCTTTTATTGATTATTTATCTTCCGCAACGGGAAATTTAAATCACACGGCGATTTTAATTGGGTCGATGATTTTGGCAACCTTGGCAATCTACGGATGCTTCTGCTACGTTATGCCTTGTCTCGCTAGAGGTCCCAGACTCACTGCGGTCTAATTGCATTGCAAATTTTTCCTATAAAATTAGTAGTAATTTGCTAAATTCTTTTTCTGCAATGCCGAAGGGTCCTGGATATTTGTACTTTTGTCCTGATTGTTTATTTTCGTACAGAATTGTTACATTTTTGGATTATGGCGCAAAATGGTTTCGTTTAAAATTGGGTTAGGAGCAAAAATTTCATCAATAATGTCGGCAATTCAAAGGAGTTCATCCTCCAAGATCAAGGAACGGGCAAGAATGACAACATTAGGCTGGCGGCGCCAAATTTTTTTGTAAACTAGACTAACAAAAACCACAAGCAATGGGATCACGAGCCAAAACAAGGCCAGGCGCTGGCAAAAAGCCACAAATCGAGTCACGGAGTCTTCCTTGGCCTTCGGTGTAGCCTTGGCGGTCCACGTGCAGCACGATCCGTGAACGGTTTTTTCTAAATTTAGCTAGTTGTTGTGCCTTTAATTGCAGCTTTACCTTCCTGAGCCGTCAAAAAGTTCCAGGAAATGGCACCCTGGCATTGCAAATCAAACACATTTGAGATCGATAAGCAGGTGATATCGATATGCGAGCCCAGTCTATAATTCACAATCAAATTCCGCCTTGTGGAATTAAATTTTCCAAAAAAGTTGCAGTGTGCAAACTCTCACTGGTAGATGCCAAAAACGGGCTCAATCGGTGTAATGCAATATGAACAATTGCGCTTCAAGTCCCATTCCGGTAAGAGAGCCGCTATAGTGATGGCCAATAGGAGAATGAGCCACCTTCTTGAAATTTAAAAATAGGTAAATTTTTTGTAATAGCTGGCGCCAAAGTTAGAAATGAACTGACCACTTTTCGGTCTGCTGACGTGGGGCAAAACCGTGGACCGTGGATGAGCTGCCCAACCCCCAGTGGATGCGTATGTTTTCTTTTGTAATTAAAGGCATAAGTAAGGTCCTTTTGAAACCAATCGAGATATCGAATCGGTGGTTAGAGTAGCTCATTGTTGCGGAGCAAAACCGAACCAGGGTCGCTTACCTGGGGCCTAGCGCCTTAGACCAAGAGACCAAAGCAGGCATGCGAGAGGGGACGGAGGGAGAGGATAGGAAGGGTCAGAGAGCCGACACAGGTCAGGCACCAGAGGCGGGCTGCCTACAATGGGTACCCAAAAAGTCATGACGCTAATATCACAAAAAATAATAACAAGATTCTCAGGAAATCCATACGCAAAGTTGCCGTCCCTGCCGATCTACCCAAAGTACAACGATTAATCCAGCATAGCTCTGTAGTGTATGTGCATAAGAAATGGTATTTAATAAAATATATTTATTCAAGAAATTGAATGATCAAATGCAAAGATATTGATGGTTTTATAGACTTTTAAGCAGTTGATTTGAATTTTTTGGCGCACCACCAACAAATATACATGCCCCCCTGCAATCACTTTGTAATAGCTTTCAAAGATTCAAAAATTAAATGAACTTCCATTTTAAATTTTTAAAGATTCTAAAATTGAAAATTAAGCGTATTAAAGAACAAGCACAAAAAGTGTCAAGATTAGCCCGCGCTAAAATTTCGGCGCCCCGCTAACAGTCCGGAACCGAATTTCGCCTGTCCGTATTGATCCCCCCGTGATTTTCGCTGTACCGTTTTCCTATCAAAAAGGGCGATAAAGGAAGCGGGTATTGCTTGGGGCAAAAGATACCGCCCTAGGGCATTGATGGCACGCCTTCCCGCCCAAATCATCCCGATCGGGGTCAATTTTTGATTGGCACGCCTAAGCGGATCAGCATAAGCTACCGTTTCTTACTTTTGAATTAATAATTAAATGGTGATTTTTATACCATTTTGCTTAATTGGTTTCCATCTTTAAGTTGGTCCATCTCTGATTTGATGACCATTCACTTGTCATTTCTTTTTTCCTTTTCCCCGCTTTATTTTTAAATGATCTAATTCATTGAGTACTTTTTTTATTTTATTACCGGCAAGCCAGTTTTGTTCATATTTATTTAATTCCTTTTTCAGGTTTCCACAACTTCATCTTGAGTGATTTCTCCGTTCTCGTGGTTTCCAATAAAAACCGCTTACATTGCGAGCATAATTTCAATTTCTGTACTAGTTTATCTCCGCAAAAAAAAATGAATGGAGCATCAGAAGGTCAGTTTTTTTAATTGGAAATTCCATTTCTAGCTCATCTATAAATAAGATCGAATTTCATGGCATTTTTTCAGCAACATCTCATCGCCGTTTTCAAAACGCAATTTTATAAAATGAAAGGCTTTCAAGCAGTGGTTATTTCTCCAGAATCTAGCAGGTTAACTGGTAATACTGCTGCTAGACATTTTGAAAATTTTCGAATCGAAAAGAAAATTTACGATTTCAGCCGTTTCAATGGTTGTGCCGGGCCGGATTGCAACAAGCGAGCAGAAGCACGGATCATCGTCAATGCTCTTGTATTGGCTAGATGGTAATGTGGTGATAAAGACTACCCAGTGGCTGACTGGGCGGACGACATCTTCCCGAAAAGGGGGACAATGGTCGGCGGAAACAACGTGGGAACAAGTAAGGTTTGTGGTTCTTTTTAGAGATTACACCGGGTGTCCCAATAAAAAACATTCCCCCTTTAACTCGACACAGAAGTATCTGATCAAAACGATAGTTACACCATCTGGAGCCCTTGACACGGCCCGGTTGGCAACAATCCTCAAAACCATGTTCTTATCTGAACCCCGATTTTTAAACGCATCTGAAAATATTAAGGAACGCCCCCAGCATCTAGTTAACGGCAAGTTCCGGTAAATTTGCTTGGACAATTGAGGCAAATGAGCTCCTATGCAACCACAAAAAAACGGAAAAATTTTGGAAAACCGCTTGTAAAACCACGCATTTATATAAAAACAGGGTTGATAGTTGCAAATTTGCCGTTTCGAGGGCTTTAGAATGGTGTAACTATCATTCCGATCGGACCGTTCTGCGTCGTGTTAGAGGGGGGCGTTTTTTTGTTGGGATACATTGCGGTGATTTGCGAGTTGGGAAAAGGAAAAATCCCCGATTTTCAGGCCGCGGCAAAACCAAGACACAGAAAAATTGTGGAATGAAAAGGCAACAGAGCGTAATAATTTTGGGACCGGATCTGGGAGTATCCAATGGCAAACCAGAAGACACGTGGATTTTTTTACCAGTGGATGTCGTAGAGAAAGCTGCAGCAACACTGATAAACTAACAGATCTAATCTATTTTTGGTAAGAAGGAGTCCGTGAATCCGCATTGAAAAATAGGCGCTTTACAAATTTTTATTTTTATTTTAATTTTCAAGAAAAGTATTAATTTTTAGTTTTCGCTTGATTCAATTATCGATTTTACAGGATAAAACCCCGTCTTCGTCTGGATGTTCTATAGCGGCCGACAGCAGACGTACACGGGCCATTTTCTGGCAATGAGCGAGGAACTTTCGAAATTCATAGCAACTTTTTAAATGGGAAATTTTGATGGCAAACGCAATAAGGACGAATTTCAAGGGTATATATCCGCTGGCGAGATTAAATTTTTTTCCAGGGACGCGTCCTCAGCATGTACGAGGAAGCCGTAATCATTGAGTTGTGCCGATCAAATTCGAGATGGCAAAGTAGGCTATTTGCAAATTTCAATTTTAACTTCAAAATTAAATAGGGCTTGTGGCGGCCTAAAACTTAGTACTCGTCCTCCGGTGTTTTCGCCCTCTCCGAGTCTGTTAGCTAGCCCGCAGCTGGCGAAAGAGGGAGCCGAAGGTGGCGTTTGGGATAGGAGGGAGCGTCTCAAGGGGGATCCTCACTTCTCTGACCCGGTGTGCCACGCAGCTGCGAGTCTCTGCCTATCGTTCATCGATACAGTGCAATATCGAAACTCCGGGCCCTATCGTCTTTGCGACGAGGACTTCAGGAGTGTCGAAGTGGGTTTTGTTTGTAATTGTAATTGCCGAATTATTTTATTCTGTTCTAGCATTCTGTATTTTTCGCCACAGATTTCCGACCTTTTTTAAAGCTTATAAAAAGCAAGTTCGTCTTCCAGCATGGCGGTACAAACTGGCCAAAGTCCAAAATTAGGCCGCCACACGGCTTTATGCCATCCACATTTTTAGGTTAAATGACGAGCCGGCCATGCAATTGAATAAGCTCGCGGATTACGATTCAAGTCCACACTCCAGCAAATATTTTTTCCAGAGCTTTTTAAAGTGAATTTAAAGGGACAAACGCAACGAAAAAGCATTAAAATGGTAAGAATTTTGAAGATTATCCATCAGTCGCTTATTTTTTGAAATGTGGTGGTGCTTAATACAGGAAGTCCCAAAAAAATCCCCCACCTAGAGGGTTGCAGTCGTGTCTGATTTTTACTTCAGGCATCTATAGAAAGCTCTCGGAAAAGCGAGTCCAGCACATCCTCCTGACTTTCGCAATTTTGAGGGTTTTCTCGGTTTTCGGCATTTTTCATGCAAAAGGAAATCACTCTTTTGCAAAAAAAACAATTTAACTACTTAAGCGCCAAACAAGCTGTGTTTTCTCACAATCAGATGACTCTCAAAAAGCTGTCATTGTGCTACCAGAAAGGCGTAAAAATTCATTCAGAATTTGTTTGTAAAAAACCGTACATCAAAAAATTTGCCAGTTTTGCAAACATGATTAAATGTCGGACAACTTTTTAAAATTTTGAATATCGGAAAGACGTGCTGGAGTCACCGTTTTGAGAGCTCACGTTAGATATCTAAATCTTAAAAATCGGGCACGACTGCGGCCCGCTAGGCATCCGTGTTTTTGGGACCCGCCGTAATTTTATAGATATCGGCGACGATAAACACTTCCGAATGAGATGAGGAGTAATAAACAACAACAACAAGCTACCGACTGGTGTGCATATTTTTGGTAAAAGAAGCGCGATTACAACTTTCTCTCCTTTCGGGCCCAAAGTTAGCGGTGAGATATTTTTGACGCTGGATAATGTGCAAGGGTTATAATTCCTGAAGTTTTGTAGTAATGGCGCATAATATCTACACAATTCTGAATAATTGATAATTTTTAGATCTCGAAGACTATGATATCGCAACTCACGAGGCACCACCGAATTTTACAGCATCCTTTTTTGGGTTGATTTTGATGGAGTACTGTAGGAATTAGTTGGAATGGTAAGAATAACCAGAGTAATTTTCCAGCGATCAAATTAAAATTTATAGTTGATGGCGGCTTCACTATTTCGAGCACCCTGGTTCGGGTAAAACCAGAGGCGAAAGGTTTCTGGCTATAGATTTCTTCATGTAGTGATTTTCAGGAACCCTGCAATCTTGATCAGATCCTGGTGGATCTACTGATATTTCCTCCGAAATGCAAAATCGAATTGCCATTAACCAAAAAAAAACATCAAATTTGCCAGGAAGTACGCCAAAGAGTAAGGATTTTCACAAAAAGTCATTACGTTTCCAGCTATTAAGAGTTTATGAGCATTATCCGTCAGAAAGTTGACTTCAAATTTTTGCCAATAAAAACGATGCTCCTGAAAGGGATTTAAGGTGATCAATTTTGCAAAGTATCTTGGCAGCAAATCGGAGATTTTTTGATAGTCCGTTCGCCTCACAACGAATTTTTTCCAGAACGAAATGCTCGCATACCGCGATTTTGGATGGAATGAACATGCTGTATATGGAGGTGAGCAGACCATGAAAATCCTGTTCAAAGGGAGCAGGGCAAGCGAAAATCGACAGCGTTCAATGTAGTGCAAATCGCCTGCGTCGAAAAGTTGGTGTGGAAACGGTCCAATCTACTCACAGCAAATGCTAACAACGCGATCCCCGAAATAAATTATATATTTTCTTGTCGACACATTTGATCTAACAAACGGCTGATTTTTGCTTCGTGGAAATAACATTTTGCTGAAGTATTCTTTGGCGATATTTCAAAAACCCAAAATTGGACAAGGAATAATTTGATACAAACGAAATCAGTCAAAATTAATTTTCGACAAAATCATATTTCGACAAAATGATAGTAAAGCCCAACAAACACTGCAGCCAAATTGGATCGTATCGGAGGCATTATCTAGAAAAAAAAGGCAGATTGAAAATAATGGAAGGCCATTTAAATACAGTAGATTTTAACGTTTTTCCTTATGAAAGTAAACACTTAAAATAAATTTCATAATTAATTTCAAAATTTTGGTTGCTTTTTTCAAAACTTTTCTTTGCAGGATAGTTTTGGCGTCTTTCGAGGTTAGGTTGATTTATAAAGCAAAAGAAGTTATTTGTTTATTTATTTCAATTGGTGCTTTCTGGTACGCATTTGTATTGAGAAAAAGGGGGGGAGGTATCGCTCGGGGCCAAAGATGCCACCTAAGGGCATTGATGGCGCGCCTTCCCGCCAAATCCTCCCAATCTGGCTCGATTTTCGATTGGCACGCCTGGCTTTGACAGTTTTTGATTTTTAATGAACATGTGGTAGTCTTCTTGTATAATTCTAGAATATTTGGATTGGATTTATTTCCCATTTTTCCTTTTCCACAATTTGTTATCTAAATTAACCCTATTATTTATTGCCACCCATAAGCCCTTTTTATTCATATTTATTCAATTCCTTTTTCAGGTTTCCACAACTTCATCTTGAGTGATTTCTCCATTCGAGCGGTTTCTAATAAAAATCGCTTCCAATCCGAGTGCAATTTGCGCACCCATTTATCTCCACAAGCTTACAGCGGGTCACCTGTAGGTATGTTATTTTTATTAAAAGTCGAACTTCTAGCTCTTCTATAAATAAGACCGAATTTAATGGGATTTTTTCGGCACAATCTCATCGCCGCCCAGAAAATTGCTCAAATAGCTACTAGGAAATTAACCCGTTTGGCATCGTTTCGAGAAGATGACAGCAGCTTTAACAATACAGGGTGGCTGATAAGTATCCGGAAAAACTTTGACATGACGTAACAAAAAAAACCAACGAGTTTTATGTTCTGTTCTCCTAGCCATCGTGGATGTTCTTGTATATACTTTGATATTTTATGCCTAAAATTGAGTTAATTTAGGACAACAAAATATCGGAGTCTTTAGCTCCAAAAGAGTTAAGAAATAGCAGAAAAAAGCTGTCATTAGCCGTCATTTCCTTAAATGCGCCACCAGGCCACAGTGATGGGGGAAGGGGGAGGGCTTATGAAGGTAGGGCGAGTACAATGCAAAATGTATGCAAAAATTTAAATGCTTATAACTCGACTATTTTATAGTATGGGCAGCTGAAAGTTACACCAATCGATTCGTCTCGTCGAGCTCTATCAGTGTGCAAATTTTCAAATCGAAATTCGGTGTCGAGCTGAGACCATCTCCTTGTTAGGTGCGCCGCACCTGGGGTAGTCAATGTTTAGACGAGAAAACTTTCTGGGTGAAGGTGTCTGATACTTTCAAAAACCCCGATAACTTGTCAGTCCGGGTCTGAAGAATACCAGGAAGTTAAAAATTACTGCAAAAAGGCTTATCCCAGAAAGTTATATGGTCAAAAGAGGAATTAGCGTCTCCGACAGGTTTTCATCGATCAAATCGCTAAAATGAAGATGAACCTCTATCAAAATGATATTCTGGAGCAAGATGTGATGCTTTCTAATCGAAACAATCCGTCAATTGCCCTTCAACAGTATCGGGCTCGGGGCTAGGGCCCAAAAACCACAATTCGTCATTTTCGCCCGAAAATCGACGCTTTTATGACGAAGGTTACATGACCTGCCAAAAGCCCAGATCGTAATCCACTGGATTTTTCTGTGCGGCAATGCATGGAACACGAGTTAAGGAACCAGAGCATCAAGAATTTAATTAATTTCCCTTTAATTTATCGTCATTTTTTAAGTCATTAACCAACGTAAACAATCAAAGCCATTCCAGATACGATGTTCGATCCGAAACGCCGCAAGTATGCGAAGAAGCCACCAGATGCTTTCGACGAGCGCGTCGAAGCAGTTCAAAAAAACATTAACAGACGCTCGAGTCTTCGATGTAAGTCCTCAAAATCTTAACACCACAATCAATTTAGAAAGCCCACAAAAGGATCAACAGTGACACGTACAATCAGAACCTCAAAGCCGCACGCGATCGTCAGGAAACAACCAGCGTCAGAGGTCAGCCACACGCCAACCACCTTTGTAAGTGCCACTCCTCATTCGATTCAAAACTTATTGACCTACTGGACAGTAGAATATATCCCAAATTTCTCCTGTTGTGAGAGAGTGTGTACACTCTGATTAACCGCCAAGCAAACCTATCTTATCAATCAAAATTTAGTGGTACCCTGGACCTTACCGACAATTTCGAGGGGGAGGAAACTGAAGAACCATCGACTTTCTAACTTGACTATTTTTGTATTTGAACTCTGAACTCTTTTTGTCTGAATATCTGGACTATACATTTCAAATAAAGCCAGGGCCCTCCATTCTACTTCAAAGCAAAGAAACGACCAGACAGATGTACGTAATGAGATTAATGTGCGTTTTTATTGCCCCCTATGAAGCCCTCCACGAAGCAGGTCAGTTTAGTCAGTCTGCCAGCCTGTTGCTTTTGGTCAAGCTACAATTTTATTATTTTTCTTTTTCTATCTAGTTTTTAAACTTTAGATGAGTGCCAAAACTTGTGCGTCTTCGTCTCCTGATGAATCTACTCCTACTTCGGTAAGTACTGTCAATGACTTTT